CCGCCGCCACTTCAGCCGCTGCCACCACAGCAGCTGCGCCAGCTCTCTCATCCGCCGCCTACCCGCAACCCCGCCGACCCCGCCCCATTCCTTCTTAGCCGCGGCCCATTCGCTAGATAGGCTGCCATGCTGAGTTCTCATTGGCCAATCCTCAAGTCCTTCCCCAGTTCTCGCCCGCTGCCGATGCAGGACCCCCTGCCCGCCTCCTAGAGAAGGGGCGGGGTTGTGAAGCCCCGCCCCTTTCCCCCTCTCATCCTCTCTGCCTAACTCGTTCAGCCCAACTCAGAGGCAGTCCGTGTCTTTCAATTGGTGGAGGGTCAGAGAGACGGTGCCTCTGATTGGTCAGGCCCCCAGGTGGGCGGAACTGAGCGGAATTGCATGGTGAAAAGGAAAGTCCATCAGGCTCCGAGTCCCGCCTTCTGAGATTGGCGGGTAACCTAGCAACGCAGGAACCTCCGGAGGTAACGTTAAGTAGAAAAACCCGGAGCCCTCCGAGCTGGTGAGTGACCAGGTGGGGAAAGGCTGGGAATGAGAGGGAAATGCGGGAAGGCGGCTAGCCTGCTATCCTTGGCTCCCTAAGGGATCAGTGACCCTCATTGCGATCCCATCCCCGCCCCAGGTCCCTGCTCTCCAGCCCTCGCCTACAAAGACCACTAGACATCTTCCGTGACCCTGCCTGTGCTCTGTCCCTCCGCTTATCATCTCCATGGTCCTGTTTTCTCATCTCTTAAACATGGGGCCAAGTGGAGTCACATCGTAGTTAACTAAGTTTGTAATCCCCTACCATTCTACCCAAGGGCCATATATTCCAGGGTAAGCGTGCAATGCAAGGCATCTCAATGGAATGAGTGTTTATATTAGGTCATTTTGATTATGCCCATTTTTGCCTTTTGTGCTAACTTGAAAACGTAATTCCCTGCCCTGACCCGGTTGCTCGGTCGGTTAGAGCATCCTCCCCATACACCAAGGTTGCAGGTTCAATCCCCAGTCAGGGCCCATACAAGAAGCAAGCCATGAATGCATATGTAAGTGGAACAACAAATTGATGTTTCTCTCTTTCTCCCCTCCTTTCTCTAGCTAAACTCAATAAATAAAAATTTAAAAAAACTTAATTACCATCCCTGTCCTTAAAATGTGCAATGACTTCCCCACAGTCCCTCATTTACATACTTAAGACACAGGGTTTGCTGTGAGGATTAAATGAGGTAAGACAATGAGGAACTTGGCAGGGAGCTGAGGAACATCGTAAGGACTCAGTGAAAAGTAGCATTTTTCCCCTTAAGACAATTCATCCTTGACTCTTCCTGCTTAAAAGAATTCCAACAGAGTTATCTCTTTCCATACCATTAATATCCATACATTCAGCCAGAGTGCCTGGTACTGGGGGCTGGGATGGAGCAATCAATAAAGGAAACGTCATTCCTCCCCTCATGCAACTTGTCTAAAGTGAGAGGGAGAGATTAATCAAATACTAATATACAGGTCAACGTGAAATGACACCTGCAGAGATTCAGTTCCACAGTGATGGGGGGACGAGGTCAACAAACCCTCTCCTCCAAAAGCAATGAGGGTCGCTGTGACGGCTGCCTTTTCTAAGCAATCGAATCAGAGAGGCTTTCTTGTTCCCTAGTCCCCTGTAACGTGACGGAGAGGAAGTGAGAACCATAAGTAGGATAACCAGGCCAGGCCAGGGAAAGGGCCAGGGACCGAAAGTGGTGCGAGAGTCAAGAGTGAGAAGCAGTGCGTTCCAATATAAAAACGTTGCTAGAGGAAGGCAAGCGTCTAGCCCCGTGGTCGGCAAACTGCGGCTCGGGAGCCACATGCGGCTCTTTGGCCCCTTGAGTGTGGCTCTTCCACAAAATACCACGTGCGGGCGCGCACATACAGTGCGATTGAAACTTCGTGGCCCGTGCGCAGGAGTCAGTTTTTGGCCTGGGCGAGTCTATTTTGAAGAAGTACTGTTGATATTTGGCTCTGTTGACTAATGAGTTTGCCGACCACTGGTCTAGCCCACCGTTTCCTTTCCCAGACATCACCCACCACTCAGAAAGCCCCCAACAGCCTTTTGATGGAAAGCAGC